TAATACTTTGGAAGGAAGATCCAAATAAAGCAACGCGGTTTCAGTTGTCATGGGTTGATTCTGCAATTCATTGCTGCAGTATCTCATGCATGACGCCGCCTCAAACTTATCAGCAATCATCAACACATCAAGCAGACCAGTTGGTGTTTTAGCTGATAATGTATTACAATACGTAAACTTCAACAGGTCCATGAGGGCTGCTTCTTCTGCTCAAATAAAATTGACAAAGGCAAACACACATTAACATTTGGTTTTATTACTTGATTCAATCAAGTGGAATGAACTTTCTCACAAGAAAAGAAAAATTAATACTTACCTGACTCATGAATTTGAACAATTACATACCGTTGCTCTTCCGTGCCATTCGAGAACAACTAATAAGAAAACAAATAGTAGTAATTAAAAAAAGAAGAAGCAGGGAATGCCAATTGAAAAAACAAATGTATTGTATTAAGGAGTACTCACCTTAAAAAAGAAAATACTCTTTGCAGCAACAATTGGAGAACTGATGTGTACAGTTCTCAAGCAAAGAGGATGGCTTTTAGTCATCGCAATGTTAGGAGACGATTTCTCAAGCCTTCCTATAGCTGCTTCTTCTCGTTTGTCATCAGCATCAGACAAGCGAAAGAGATAAGGGTACATAATGAAATAATTAGGAAAAACCAAGAAAGTAACGGTGCAGAACTCCCAAATAACCATTTCAAGTTACATCTCATAAGTTTCAGCATCAAACATAACCATATAAAAGCAAATTCACATGCTCATTCATTCTTACCTTTATTTTAACAAAAAAGAGAATTTAAATTGAAGATATAAATTTATATTTGTAAAGGAAATGCAACCACATCCCAACAAGGAGGAAAAAGCCCTAAATTCATAAACCGTCTTTCGCATAACAATTACTTCTATAATTCAAGTCTAAACTAGTTGAATTTAGCTATATGAATCATCTATATTGCTTTCACTCCATTTGGATTGGTAAACTTACCTTTTTCATCCATTGACCAAAAAGAAATTCTCAAGTGAAAAAAATCGTTTTCAGATCTATGATTAGAAAATAAAAATCTATGGACTAAAAGATGTTATAAACCCTATCTATTAATAATTATAGGTGTTAAACCTTAACATAGAAGTTGAAAAAGAGTCCATTTTATTTCTTGGTTTTTTCTCCTCCTATAACAAAAAATCTATGGTAAATTAGTGTTCTTTTTTCATTCATGAAAACAATCCAAGGCAAAAAGATGTTAAACTATTATGCAGAATCAAAGATCTAACTGATTTCTTCTGTTTAAAAGCAAAAATCTATGAACTAAAAGATGTTAAATCCGATCTATTAAAAATGTAGGTGTTTAATTCTAACACATAAAATGAAAAATAGTCCATTTTATTTCTTGGTCCTCCTGTAACAAAAAATTTATGATAAAATTAGTGTGTGTTTTTCATTCAAGAAAACAATCCAAGGTAAAAAGATGTTAAACTCTTATGCAAAATCGAAGATCTAATCGTTTTCTCCTGTTTAAAAGCAAAAATCTATGGGCTAAAAGATTTTAAAATCGAATGTAGGTGTTTAACTCTAACATAGAAGTTGAAAAAAAAGTCAATTTTATTTCTTGGTTTCTTCTCCTCCTGAACAAAAGATCTATTGTAAAATTAGTGTGTGTTTTTTCATACATGAAAACAATCCAAGACAAAAAAGATGTTAAACTTTTATGCAGAATCAAAGATTTAATCGATTTCTTCTGTTTAAAAGCAAAAAATCAATGGACAACAAGATGTTAAACCCTATCTTTTAAAAATTTATGGTAAAATTGGTGTTTAAAGTTGAAAGACGGTCCATTTTATTTTTTGATTTCTTCTCCTCTTGTACAAAAAATCTATGGTAAAATTGGTGTTTTTTTTTCATCCACGAAAATAATCCAAGGAAAGATGTTAAACTCTTATGCAGAATCAAAAATCTAATCGATTTCTTCTATTTAAAAGCAAAAATCTATGGGGAAAAAAGATAGATCTTTCATCTGTAATGAAATGAAAACAGAAAATCAAATCATCAAGCATTCAAAAAGAACAAACATTTCATGATTTTTTTTCTTTTCTCACACCAAAAATGTACCCAAAAGTGAAAAAAAAAAGAGTAAGTAAACCCTAATTTAAAATTAAGAAAAGCAAACCATTTCTTCTTGTTATGATTTCTTCTCTCTTACGCTTGCCTTTCCGGGCTGAATCATCAACACTGCAACCTTCTGGTCTGAGCTCCATTGAATCTGGTACAATCTCTATCATCAACACTCGATCTGAGTAATTCCTGTCATTAAACGCAAATCCATAGTCTGGTTGTGATTCCGATACATTCGAGGAATGTAGAAAATTCATTTTCACAATTGAATCAAAGCACAAAGTTTTTTTTCACAGAGAAAATTAGGAGAAATGCAAAGAAAACCATAGATTGACTCATTGAAGCACTATAAATAATTGTTTTGCTTCATTGTTTAATTTGTACTTACCATAATTAATTACAAAGTTTACTGATTTTAATAGTTGTTTGTCCTGTAATGCAAATAAAACAAAATATGAAAGCCAAATTCAAAATTAGTTCTTCTAATTGATACCATTTTTCTTCTTCTTTGAGTAGTTGGATGACACCGTTTTGAATTGCTCCAAATCTCTAATTTGTATCAAAAATTTTAAAAGCATTAAATTCATGACTCTATTTTTTTTTTGCTTTCTTCCATTGAAGTTCTTCATAGCTCCATTAAATCAAAAAATTATTAAAGTATTTTAAAAAATCCTTTTGAAATATTTTAAAAGAAAAAAATAAGGTAAATAAATCAAATAACATCTTAACCGTACTCAAAGCCTGAGCTTTAAAATATAAAATCATATCAAATTAATTCATTTATGTTTTTGAAAAATGTTACAGCCTTGTGGGCAATCCATATTCCAAATTAATATTACTCTACACTTTCAATCACCTGAAAATTAAAATCAAGAATCTACTAAACACAAAGTTATAACAACCAAAAAACTAAAATATGAGGTGCAAGGTGGATCATAAGTCACTTTTCGAGCTCAATGTTGCATAGCTCCGAAGAAAAATTTGTGTCCCTAAAGCAAATAATACGTGTCATGAACTAAAATCGTGACATAACAGGTTATAGGATTAGAAGCATCAACATTGTCTTTTTAACAAAAATATATACTAGTATTACATAATTTCTAAGATTTTATAAAATATCCTAAACACAAGTACAACTAAAAGAAGGAAAAAGATGGCCATGAATATTATGTACTAACACCTGTGGAAATGCAACTATACAAGTAAACTTTAAAAACACAAAATCAGCTATAACAAGAATAATGACGCTTCAGTCTCAAATGAGTTGAAGTTGGCTATACGATCTCCAGTTCTTCATTTAAGTTCATGTTATATAACCATCATACTACATAAAATAAAATAAAAAATAAGCTAAAATATGTACTCGACATTAATACAAAGAATTTCTAGGTCTTCCAAAATAACTTCCTTGCATGTAATTTTAGGTCTAAGGTTGCATGTCCACTTTTGTTAAATTTCACTTACCTTAACTTTACACATATCGACCGATGCATCTATAGGTCGAGACTCGAGATAGAAGTAGCTAATCTCAATAAAATGACACAAACTATGGAAACCAATCAAACCATAATGTTTCCCAAAAACTCACATTCCTCTGCTTAATAAAATGTTGCATCATAAACCATAAACACAAGTTAAGAGAATGTAACATTGATAGGTTGAAGTAATGACAAGACAAGTTTCACAAATAATCATTGTACACAATCTAGCAGAAATGGTATCCACAAGCAAATATAGAATTTGAAGCACATATAGATGGAACTTTATAGAAACTACTTAAATACACACATTCCAAAGTCACTTGAATCAACATCATCTCAAAGTCACTAAAACTACTCAACAATTCTGATTTTACTAATTTACAACACTGCAAATAATTCATTCCGTGATCACACTAATCTCAAAAAATGCATAAGTATCCCCAACCTATGCCCAAAATCTCAGAGACACACTTATACTATACTAAGGTTCTATTACCCCCCTGAACTTATTTTATAAATAATTTTCAACCTCTTTTCGGCCTACGTGGCACTATTTTTTGGGCCTAGCACGTGTTGACAATTTTTTCAAGCTATCTGGTTGATAGTACCACGTAGGCCGAAAAGGAGTAGAAAATTATTTTAAAAATAAGTTCGGGGGTAATAGGACCTTAGTATAATATAAGTGTGTCTCTGGGATTTCGGGCATAGATTGGGGGGTACTTATGCATTTTCCCTATTTTTTAAGTCAATACATCGTTCGATAATTGTTAACTCGAATCAATTGATATCTTATTAGTTGGCCTGAGAATTAGTATATTTAAAAGTCGATAACTGATAACTCAAATCTTTAAGTCTAATAATTATCCGCTCGATAAAGCAGCCCTACTAAATAGTCCCTTAATTAAGTGTCTCTTTTGAACATCTGTACTGTACATAATTAGGGCAAGAGACTGAAACAAACTTGTATGTTAAAAGAATCAATTATTAGATGACATGTCTAATATTTTTAAGAAAGAATTAACTAAAAATAAAATAAATGTAGTTTTAAAAAATACCAATACCATCCTTCCTACAAAAAGTGAAACTTTTCCATTTTCATCAAACATGACACACATTTTGTTGTTCTTCCGTTGATCACCTCTGTTAAATCCTTGAACTTGATCGATAAATATAGGTTTGTCTTATAATATCAAGCTTTCTAAGACTCGTGAGTCGTGATAGTGCATCATAAACCATGAAATCAGTAGGCAGTTAAAGCTTGTAGTGCAAAGGAATTCTATAGCAGAAATGGTATCCACAAGCCAAAATAGAATTTGAAGCATATATATAGATAGAAACTACTTAAATACACACATCCAAAGTCACTAAAACTACTCAACAAGTCTAATTTACAACACTGTAAATAATTCATTCCCTGACCACAGTAATCTCAGCACGAATATGCAGAACTCCGTTGATGAAATACAAACCATCTGCATTCAGAAAAGGGGTCCAACCTATATCACAAAGGTTCCGGCATCCCACAACGATGCCACTATTAAGGGTATGGCTTCCCTTATACATGTTCACAAATTCGTTGTCTGGTCTAAGACGCACTGAAAACTCGTAATCAACTGCAAGTGGATCAGACTCCTCCCCTTGCATACCCAGGAACAACCCCAAGCAATGCTGAAAACCTTGTTGGTCTATGTTGCAATGCGCGGAAAGGAAAAGCTCTTGTCCACCAAAATGGAAACCCTGTGAATAGAGTTTGCCTGCAGGAAAGAGGATAGCACACTCATCTCTTTTCAAATCCAGGTAAACAACAGAATGCTGATGAGGTGCTTCGAACTCGAGAGCTTTAACAGGTCTGAGTTTGTATGCCCGCTCCACATAACGATTCCCCAACTTGGCAGCAATTGCACGTTGCTGATAAGGTTCTTCGGCCTTGTAAAAAAGAGCCTCGAACACAAACTTTGAAGCAAGCTCACGACTGAAGTCATTGCACGTCATGATTTTCTTCAGCTTCGTGCATGTCATGGCTGGAAATCGGATGAGGAAACAAAGATGTGTAGTCCATACTTCTCGTCGATCCTCAAACTTTGGGTAATGCATAGGAGCCCACTTCAACGCAAAGTCATAGACAGCATCCTCTGATGCAATCTCAAGAAGATCACTGGACAGAACAACCTTAATTCCCGAAAGAGGCAAACTCAATGCCTCTTTTTCGAACCTGAAGGATTCAACGAAAAAGAATGAAATGAAGACTGATATGGAAATGCAAATCATTCACACTCTATAAGTAGTATAGATGGTTAATGTAAAAATGTGGAGAGTTTAAGTCTACGCACTTGTTTATGTCCCTGAAACGGAGGATAATAAACAGATTGGCCGCATCTGCTAATGGCTGAATTGCATCAACATTTAATACTTTGGAAGGAAGATCCAAATAGCGCAATGCTGTTTCAATTGTCATGTGTTGATTCTGCAGTTCATTGCTGCAGTATCTCATGCAAGACGACACCTCAAACTTATCAGCCGCCATCAGCACATCAACAAGACCACTTGGTGTTTTACTTGATAAACTATTGCAATATATAAACTTCAACAGGTCCATCAGAGCGGCTTCTTCTGCTCAATAAAATTGACAAAGACAAACACACATTAAGATTTGGTTTTATTACTTGATTCAATCAAGAAAGAAATGTAGTGGAATGAACTTTCTCACAAGAAAGTAAAAATTAATACGTACCCGACTCATGAATTTGTACAATTACATACCGTTGCTCTTCCGTGCCATTCGAGAACAACTAATAAGAAAACAAATAGTTGAAATTAAAAATAAAACAAGGAATGCCAATTGATGGGAAAATGTATTGTATTAAGGAGTACTCACCTTAAGAAAGAAACCACTTTTGGCAGCAAGAATAGGAGAACTGATATTTACCGTTCTCACATTAAGAGGATGACTTTTAGTCATCACAATGTTAGGAGGCAATTCCTCAAGCCTTCCTATAGCTGCTTCTTCTCGTTTGTCATCAACATTAGACAAGTGAAAGAGATAATAATCATACAAAATGAAATAATTACGAAAAGGCAAGTAAGTAACAGTGCAGAACTTCCAAATAACCATTTCAAGTTATATCTAAGTTTCAGCATCAAACATGACCATATAAAAACGAATTCAAATGCTCATTCATTCTTACATTTTCTTTAACAAAAAAGAGAATTCTAAACTGAAGATAAAAATTGCAGCAATTGTATTTGTAAAGAAAATGCAACCACATCCCATACAAGCGAAAAAAACCCTAAATCCATAAACTGTCTTTTGCATAACAAGTACTTCTATAATTCAAGTCTAAGCTAGTTGAATTTTGCTATATGAATCATCTACATTGCTTCCACTTCATTTGGAGTGGTAAACTTACCTTTTTCATCCATTAATCAAAATGGAATTTCCAAGTGAAAAAATCCGATTTCAGATCTATGATTAGAAACCAAAAATCTATGGACTAAAAGATGTTATAAACCCTATTTATTTAAAATTGTAGTTATTTAACCCTAATACAGAAGTTGAAAACAATCCATTTTATTTCTTGTTTCTTCTCCTCCTATAACAACAACTCTATGGTAAAATTAGTGTGTGTTTTTTCATTTATGAAAACAATCCAAGGCAAAAAGATGTTAAACTTTTATGCATAATCAAAAATCTAATCGTTTTCTTCTGTTTAAAAGCAAAAATTTATGGACAAAAAGATATTAAACTCGATCTATTAAAAATGTAGGTGTTTAACTCTTGCACAAAATTTGAAAAACAGTCCATTTTATTTCTTGGTTTCTTCTCCTCCCTTAACAAAAATTCTACAGTAAAATTAGTGTTTTTTTTTTCATTCATGAAAACAATTCAAGGCAAAAAGATGTTAAACTCTTGTGCAGAATTAAAGATCTAATCGTTTTCTTCTGTTTAAAAGCAAAAATCTATGGACTAAAAGATGTTAATCCCAATTTATTAAAAATGTAGGTGTTTAACTCTAATATAGAAGTTGAAAAACAGTCCATTTTATTTCTTGATTTATTCTTCTCCTATAACAAAAAATCTATGGTAAAATTAGGGTTTTTTTAATTCACCAAAACAATCCATGGAAAGATGTTAAACTCTTATGCATAATCGAAAATCTAATCGATTTCTTCCGTTTAAAAGCAAAATCTAGATTTTTTATCTGTAATGAAATGAAATGAAAACAGAAAATCAAATCATCAAGCATTCCAAAAAATAAACATTTCATGATTTTTTTTCTTTTCTCACACAAAAAATGCACCCAAAAATGAAATAAAAAATGCAACTAAAACCTAATTTAGATTTTTTATCTGTAATGAAATGAAAATAGAAAATCAAATCATCAAGGAATCCAAAAAAACAAACATTTCATGATTTTTTTTCTTTTCTCACACAAAAAATGCACCCAAAATTGAAATAAAAAATCAAATCATCAAGCATTCCAAAAAACAAACATTTCATGATTTTTTTTTTCTCACTCCAAAAATGCACCCAAAAATGAAATAAAAAATGCAACTAAAACCTAATTTAGATTTTTTATCTGTGGTGAAATGAAATGAAAACATAAAATCAAATCATCAAGCATTCAAAAAAACAAACATTTCATGATTTTTTTTTCTTTTCTCACACCAAAAATGCACCTAAAAATGAAATAAAAAATGCAACTAAAATCTAATTTAGATTTTTTATCTGTAGTGAAATGAAATGAAAACATAAAATCAAATCATCAAGCATTCAAAAAAACAAACATTTCATGATTTTTTTTCTTTTCTCACACCAAAAATGCACCCAAAAATGAAATCATCAAGCATTCAAAAAAACAAACATTTCATGATTTTTTTTCTTTTCTCACACCAAAAATGCACCCAAAAATGAAATAAAAAATGCAACTAAAACCTAATTTAGATTTTTTATCTGTAATGAAATGAAAACAAAAAATCAAATCATCAAGAATTAAAAAAAAAATATTTCATGATTTTTTTTTAGCACCCAAAAATTAAATAAAAAATCAAATCATCAAGCATTCCAAAAAACAAACATTTCATGATTTTTTTTTCTTTTCTCACACCAAAAATGCACCCAAAAATGAAATAAAAAATCAAATCATCAAGCATTTCAAAAAACAAACATTTCATGATTTTTTTTTCTTTTCTCACACCAAAAATGCACCCAAAAATGAAATGAAAAATGCAACTAAAACCTAATTAATTTTTTTTTCTGTAATGAAATGAAATGAAAACAGAAAATCAAATCATCAAGCATTCAAAAAAGCAAACATTTCATGATTTTTTTTCTTTTCTCACACCAAAAATATACCAAAAAACGTAACTAAACCCTGATTTAAAATTAAGAAAAGCAAACCATGTCTTCTTGTTTTGATTTCTTCTCTCTTTCGCTTGCCTTTCCGGGCTGAATCATCAACAGTGCAACAACCTTCTGGTTTGAGCTCCATTGAATTCGGTACGATCTCTATCATCAACACCCGATCTGAGTAATTCCTGTCATTAAACGCAAATCCATAGTCCGGTTGAGATTTTGATATATTCAAAGTAAGTAGAAAATTCATTTTCAAAATTGAATCGAAGCACAAAGTTTTTTCACAAAGAAAATTGGGAGAAATGTAGGTGGGAACTGAAGAAAATTGGTGATTGAAGCACTTTAAATAAGTGTTTTACTTCTTTATTTTTGTAATTATCTTAATCAGTTACAAAATTTAGTGATTTTCATGGCTGTTTGTCTAGTAACGCAAATAAAACAAAATATAAAAGCCAAATTCAAAATTAGTTCTTTTAATTTATACCTTTTTTCTTGTTTTCTTCTTCTTTGAGTAGTTGAATGACATCTCTCTAAATTTCTCTAATTTGTATCAAAACTTTCAAAAGCATTAAATTCGTAACTCTATTTTTTTGTTTTTTTGCTTTCTGTCATTGAAGAAGTTCTTCATAGCTCCATTGCATATCATTATTTCACACTAATTCCTCTCATTAAAAGCAAATGAATAGTCCAGTAGTGTGTACCCAAAGCCATTAGAGTTTTTTCACAAATTGAATCAATGAGAGAAATTTAAGAAAAACCTCAAATGTTTACCAGATTGAGATAACACAATGAATTTCAAATCTTTTTTTTTTTTTTTGTATTTATGCCAAATCACAAAATCAGTTACAAAATGAACTTTAGTGATTCTTTGTCTTTTACACATAACAACTCAACTATAAAATCCGTAAATATATAATATAAAATATATTATTACTGTTAAATACGTGCAATTATATAAAATATTATTACTACGAAATTAATTGTATTGTTCAAAATTTTGACTATCCTATCTTAATTTTTTTTAAAAATTGGTGTGTGTAACTGATTAGCGGAGGTTGTATGTTTGTACTTTCTTTTTAATATTTTTATATATTAGTTTTTAGAATACATGTGCAAATTTGGGCACGTATATTGCACACGTGTATCCTATATTTATTAATATGAACTCAAAATTTTGTCTACTAATTAATTTTCTTGTTTTCTTCTTTGTCTTGTTTTCTCTATTGCTCCAACTGTCCAATTTCTATCAAAATTTGCTAAAACATTAATTTCATGACAAGCTGCTAGAGCTCATTACAGCTTAGTGGTAGTGGCAAGTGACAGGTCCAGGCCAGGTCGAGTCGAAAAAATATAGAACTCGTAAATATATAATATGAAATATATTATTACTGTTATATATGTGCAAATATATAAAATATTATTAATACGAAATCAATTGTGTTGGTTAAAATTTTGACTATCCTATCTTGATTGAATTTTTATTTTTTTTATGTGTGTAACTAATTAACGAAGGTTGAATGTTTGTACTTTCTTTTTAATATTTTTATATATTAGATTTTAGGATACATGTGCAAATTTGGGCACGTATTTTGCACAAGTATTTGGGTACGATCTCTATCATCAACACTTAATCTGAATAATTTCTGTCATTAAATGCAAATTCATAGTCTGGTTGAGATTCTGATACATTCGAAGTAAGTAGAAAATTCATTTTCAAAATTGAATCGAAGAACAAAGTTTTTTTCAAAGAGAAAATTAGGAGAAATGCAGGTGGGAACTGAAGAAACCCAGTGATTGAAGCACTTTAAATAAGTGTTTTGCTTCTTTGTTTTTGTAATTATCTTAATCAGTTACAAAGTTTACTGATTTTCATGATTGTTTGTCCTGTAACGCAAATAAAACAAAATATGAAAGCCAAATTCAAAATTGGTTCTTCTAATTGATACATTTTTTCTTGTTTTCTTCTTCTAATAGTTGGATGACATCGCTCTGAATTACTCCACATCTCTAATTTGTATCGAAACTTTCAAAAGCATTAAATTTGTGACTCTGTTTTTTAATTTTTTGCTTTCTGCCATTGAAGAATTTCTTCATAGCTCCATTGCATAACATTATTTCACAATAATTTCTATCATTAAAAGCAAATGAATAGTCCAGTTGTTTACCCAAAGCCATTAGAGTTTTTTCACAAATTGAATCAATGCAGAGAAATTTAAGAAAAATCCCAAATGTAAAAGGAAGATCAGATTGAGATAACACTATGTATTTCAAATCTGTTTTTTTTTTTGTATTTATGCCAAATCATAAAATCAGTTACAAAATGAACTTCAGTGATTCTCTGTCTTTTACACATGACAACTCAAAATTTGGTCTACTAAATATATAATATAAAATATATTATTATTGTTATATACGTGCAAATATATAAAATATTATTAATACGAAATTAATTATGTTGGTTAAAATTTTGACTATCTTAACTTGATTGAATTTTTTTTTATGTGTGTAATTGATTAACGAAGGTTGAATGTTTGTACTTTCTTTTTAATATTTTTATATATGTTTTTAGGATACATGTGCAAATTTGGGCACGTATTTTGCACACATATTTGGGTACGATCTTTATCATCAACACTTGATCTGAATAATTCTTGTCATTAAACGTAAATTCATAGTTTGGTTGAGATTTCGATACATTAGAAGTAAGTAGAAAATTCATTTTCACAATTGAATCGAAGCACAAAGTTTTTTTCAGAGAGAAAATTAAGAGAAATGCAGGTGGGAACTGAAGAAAACCACTGATTGAAGCACTTTAAATGATTGGTTTTCTTCTTTGTTTTTATACTTAATCAGTTATAAAGTTTACTAATTTTAATGGTTGTTTGTCCTGTAATGCAAATAAAATAAAATATGAAAGCAAAATTCAAAATTAGTTCTTCTAATTGATACTCCCTCCATCCCATTTTATGTGAGGTAGTTTGACTCGGCACGGAGTTTAAGAAAGAAAGGAAGAACTTTTTAAAACTTATGGTCCAAAAATGAATGATAGAAATTTGTATGACTGTAAATCATTTCATTAAGGGTAAAATAGATATTTTATAGTTAAATTGTTACTTAATATAGAAATGTGTCATTCTTTTTGGAACTGACTAAAAAGGAAAGTAAATCACATAAATTGGGACAGAGGGAGTACCATTTTTCTTGTTTTCTTCCTCTTTGTGTAGCTATGATATCGCTCTGAATTGCTCCAAATCTCAAATTTGTATCGAAATTTTCAAAAGCATTAAATTCATGACTTGTTTTATGCTTTTCGCCATGGAATTTCTTCAGAGCTCATTGCAGCTTAGTGGTAGTGGCAAGTGACTGGCCAGGCCGGGTCGGGTCGAAAAATTACAGAGCCCGTAAATATATAATATAAAATATATTATTACTGTTATATACGTGCAAATATATAAAATATTATTAATACGAAATTAATTTTGTTGGTTAAAATTTTGACTACCCTATCTTGATTAAATTATTATTTTTATGTGTGTAACTGATTAACGAAGGTGGTATGCTTGTACTTTCTTTTTAATATTTTTATATATTAGTTTTTAGGACACATGTGCAAATTTGGGCACGTATTTTGCACATGTATTTGGGTCTCTATCATCAACACACGATCTGAATAATTCATGTTATTAAACGCAAATTCATAGTCTGGTTGGGATTTCAATACATTCGAGGTAAGTAAAAAATTCATTTTCACAATTGAATCAAAGCACAAAATTTTTTGAGAAATTCAGGAGAAATGTAGGTAGGAATTGAAGAAAACCATAGATTGAAGCACTTTAAATAATTGATTTTCTTCTTTGTTTTTATACTTAATCAGTTACAAATTTTACTGATTTTCATGATTGTTTGTTCTGTAACACAAATAAAATGTAAAAGAAAGCAAAATTCAAAATTAGTTCTTCTAATTGATACCATTTTTCTTGTTTTCTTCTTCTCTGTGTTTATATCCTCTAATTGTTATCTATATTTTCAAAAGCAATAATTTCATGACTTTATTTTATTTTATTTTTGCTTTATGCAATAATTTTTAAGAGAAAAAAAATGTGCGTTTACAGTTGCAAGATTGTTTTGTAGTAATGTTAAATCAATTATAAAGTTACTTACGTTTATCTTGTGATGTTGATTACTTGTGCATTTTTCGTCACAATTGTTTGTCTTCTATATATAAGAGAAAAAAACGATTGTGCACTCATCAAAATAAATTCTTACAGTTAAATTTAATTTTGTTTTTTTCTTCGTGCAAATTAAAGGCTCTCTATTGATCAAACTCTCTAATTATTATTAGAAATTTATAAAGATCAAACAATAGATTTTTTTCACACAGAGTTGAATCAAGTAAGAGAAATAGACTCGCATGGTAAATGAAAAATATTGTGTAGTTTATACACAACTAATTTGAAAAAAATCATATTTAAATTTGTTTTACTTTTTTTTTTTTGTATTTAAGTAAATTAGTTACAGAGTAGTGCAGATTTCGTGAGAATTAATTGTCTTTTAATGAGGTAAGAAAAAAAAAACAAAATCAAAATTCAAAATTAGATCTTTCAATTGATACCATTTTTCTTATTTTCTTCTTTTTTGTGTTATTGGAGAGCATTGCTCTGTATTCTCTAATTATTATAGAAATTTACAAAATCAATAATTTCATTACTTTATTATTATTTTTCCTTTCTGCAATAATTTTCAAGAGAAAAAATGAATTCATATTTTATTTTTTTTGTATGTACAAGAGTAAAAAGAAACAAATGAGAACTCATCAAAATGGGTTCTTACAAAGTAAAGAGATTACCTTTAAAAACCACAAAACGATGTAATTATAACTACGCCTCAGTCCCAAATAAATTAACGTCAAACTATGGAAAACTTGGTCCTTCAAGTATTGGATGAGTTCTTGTAACCATAGCAACAGGCATTTTGCTTCTACCAACAATAACACTTTCCAAAATCTCACCTTCTTCTGCTTCTCTTTCCATTTCACATGTTTTCTTGGATTTATAAATTCCCAACACCATCCTTCCTACAACAGCCACCAATCCCACACCTAATAGCCCGATAACGAAACCGATAACCAAAAAACCCCATATTCTCTTCTTCTTCCTTGTCTCTGAAGGTAACACTATAGTGAAATGACCATGATTTCTTGTGTAACATAAGTTGGGAAACCTCATTACACTAAGTGAAACTTTTCCATTTTCATCAAACATTGCACAGTACTTTGTTGTTCTTCCCTTGATCATCTCTGTTAAATTCTTGAACTCGATCGATATAGGTTGTCCCATTGGTCTAAGATCAAGCTTTCTAAGACTTGTGATGGTGCTGATATGTGATGGTGCATCATAAACAATGAAACCAATAACAGAAGTCAAGAGATTGTAACCTGATATGTTGAAGTAATGAGTAGACAAGTTTCCCATATCGTTGTACACAATATGGATTCTTTTAACATAAGGCACTGGAATTGTTCTTGGAGGAATTGAAAATCCACTAAAGTTTGCACCTTTTTCCCACAATGTCCTGCTTCTTAACCTCACTAATGTGAGTTTCATTCCTGCTAAACTGGAAGGAACAGTAGCATTATATAAAGATCCAGTATGTTGATGAATCAAAGTATTGAAAGCATGTTCATGAAGAATAACATCTAATGATTTCGTAAGGCTGTTATTATTAGAACATTGAACAAGAACAAAGAGTTTCAAGAAGAGGAATAACAGAAATATGTACAAGTTCTGCACAAAATTTGATCTCCTTGGCAATTGTGATCCAGTCTTTCGTTTCATTGGATTTGGGCAACTATTTGGTTTGCTTTACTTTTCAACGGTATGAAGGACTTTGAGCTTGGAAAATGGCTGAAATTGAGGAAGAAAGAAGGGTTGGAGGTGGAAAGTTTTTTTTCTCTTTTGGACTAAAAGTAGGACTATAACCAAGGGTGTGATAATGAAGTGGGTGAAAATCGTGGAAAATCAAGTTGGTCTGAATTCCAGTATAAACAAAAGTGGGGTCTGAAGAGGATAGAATATACGGAGACTTCATCATTATCAATAAAAAGAAAAAGGAGTAGGGTTATATGCTCAAAGTCATGCTTAAGCTGGTCCCATTAGCATAATAATTAGGGTGAAGCAATGATGACTTTGTCTGTTGATAAAAGAGACCACAGATATTCCATAGAATGCGGAAATTATCATTTATCACATGGACTTTAGTGCATGTTCTTTTGTATTTTTGCAGACAAATCTTTATAAGAAGATGGAACAACTAGGATTTATATGGACAGTTTGATGAGTACTCAACAAAGCCATGATCTAGGCTGTAACTTCCATTGCACAACCTGTGATGTGGAAACCTGTCAAACACGTAACTGCGTATTTAAAAAGTGTTTCAGCTGAACCAAATAGTCTTTTGAACTCCCTAGGAGCATTTTATTATTCAACGTCAAAGAGTCAAAGAAGAAGACATGATACAACAAACATAACAGTCGGTTAAAAAACATTACCATCTCGAGCAGCTACACGAGTATGTCACCATTCTCATCACTGGACATTGTCACTGATGTCTTGTTATCTCAGGACGCTCTGCCCAGCTTTTCCTCGTTAACCAGCCTTATGATTCTCATTATAGAATGTAGTGCCCAACAGCTTAATGGAAAGGGTGGCATTGCTCTCTTCTGCCACCCCGAGGCGCAAAGAGTACCTGCATTAGGTCAATCTGAAAACCAACATTTACTGTGTATGCTGGAAGTTCAAACAAAGCAGGCAGTCAAAGCTTGTGATGCATTGATAATCTAGCAGAATTGGTATCCACAAGCCAAAATAGAATTTGAAGCTTTGATGGAATGTACTTAAATACACATCCCAAAACCACTGGAATCAGCATGATCAAAGTCACTAAAAGATCAAAATATGAAACTACTCAACAAGTCTGATTTTACTAATTTACAACAGTGCAACTATGGCAACAGGCAAAAAACATTATAACCCACAAAACTCTAGCTCATATGTGGAGCACTTTAAGTAAGAAAGTAAGATACCATTACAAGGTAAAAAATCTCCACGACTCTGGCTTTCTATTCCCTGACTCTAAGCTCTGCGCGAAGATGGAGAATTCCATTGATGAAGAATAAACTATCTTCAGACAGAAACGGGGTCCAAGCTACACCAAACAGGTTCCTGTAGCCAACAGCCTTGCCACTAGTAAAGGTGTAGTCTCCCTTGTACTTGCTCACATATTCCTCACCTGGACTGATACGAGCTGCAAACTCATAATCAACTGCAAATGACACTGACCCCTTCTCTTGCATGCCCAGAAACAACCCGAAGCAATGGAATGCACTTTGATGATCCATGTTGCAATGAGCTGACAGGAAAAACCCCTGTCCACCCAAATGGAAAGCCTGTGAATAAACTCTACCAGCTGGAAAGAGGCTAGCACACTCGTCTCTTTTCAAATCTAGGTATATAACACACTGCTGATGAGGCGTTTCAAACTCAAGAGCTTTAATAGGTCTGTACTTGTATGCCCGCTCCACATAACGATGGTACAACGCATTCCCCTCCTCGGCAGCGATTGAGCGCTGCCGATACGGTGCTTCGGCCTTATAAAAAAGAGCCTCGAAAACAAGCTTTGAAGCAAGCTTGGGATCAAAGTCATTGCACGTCATGACTTTCTTCAGCTTCCTGCATGTCATGCATGGAAATCGAATGAGGTGAAGAAGATGTGAGCTCCATACTTCCCGTCGTTCCTCAAATTTTGGGTAATGCATACGAGCCCACTTCAACACAAAGTCAAAGACAGCATCCTCTGAAGCAATTTGAAGATTATCACTGGACAAAACAGCCTCAATTCCCGAAAGAGGAAGACTCAATACATCTTCTTGGAACCTGAAGGATTTAAGGAAAAAGAAAGCAAATGAAGATACATTTTTTCTCAAATTCTACCAAACCATAGAGAACAATGTCTACATAGAGCTACTCACTTGGTTATGTCCTTGAAACGTTGAGCAAGAAACTGTTTTGCAGCATCTGTTAACGGCTGAACTTCATCAGCCACTAATATATTGAAAGGAAGATCCAAATAGAGCAATGCTGATTCAGTCGTCATGCGTAGATTCCGCAGTAAGTGGCTGCAGTATTTCATGCATGACGCAACCTCAAATTTGTCAGCAACCATCATCACATCAAGCACAGCAGTAGGTGTTGTAGCTTGAAAAGTATTACTATACATAAAATTCAAGAGATCCATGAGCGCAGCTTCTTCTGCTCAAAAAGTTGAGAAAGGAAAAAGTTAGTTCTTTTGTCAACTAACAACAGAAGAAAATATATGCAGATAATTTTTTCTTAAAACGAAGGGGAGACAAATAAAGAGGTGGGCAGGATATTTTGCACATAATTAAAACCATCAAGTGTATAGAGAAAACTACTAAACTTGCAAACATTATATGCGATAATCCTTGTCAAATTGACTCTTCAGGAGTATCTCATATAAAATTCATGTCAAGGATCCCATAATAAGAAATTTAAAAAATATTGGATACATGTGCCGCGCTAAGGCTATTAAATACAGAAATTCCTAGACCCTAGTGTGGTGTTTACTTATCTAGTTGTGTGGACTTTGGCAACCCTAGGAAGATCTCAATTTTCATTCTTTTTTTTTTTGAGAAAGTTAATTGGTATTATAAACATAGAAGTACACCAATAGTGAACTCCTGTAGTAATTACATCAAAAGTATAGAGGGTTTACCAAAAAGAATCTAAACACCTATCTCCCTCATAAACTATCTAAGAATAGGGTGATGTCCCCCGGATCCTTGGGAATAGAATGGATACACCAAAAAGTAAAAGGTCACTAAACAATTCATTTTTAATGCTTTGGAAAGGGATGCTCTTGTTCTCAAAACATCTCTGATTTCTCTCACTCCATATTGTCCACCAGATGCAGGCAGGGACATCTTCCATCTCTCCTTGTGTCCTGACTGATTTCCATCTCTATTCCAACATGCTACGACTTCTGCAGTATTTCTAGGCATGGTCCATGTGATACCTCTCAGGTTAATGAAATACTTCCATAGTGTCACAGTCACTTTACAATGCAAAAAAAGATGGTTTATTGTCTCTGTCTCAGATTCACAAAAAAAACATCTGGAGCATAAGTCCTTTCCTCTTTTCATTAAGTTATCCTGGGTTAGAACAAATTGTCTTGCAACAAGCCATGCGAAGTGAGCCACCTTATGCGGTATCTTCCCTTTCCAGATCATCTTCCAAGGTCACAACTCCCTCAATTTTCATTCATTAGTAGTAGGTAATATGATTTCTATTGATGGTACATTGATAGTTGAAGAATATAAACAGAAAATGTATCTGGTTCGTACAAAATTCAAATTTCCTATTAGAGAAAATCTAGTTATTCTAAGTTTTTAACCCTAACAATAGCCACTGAGAGCAGAAGCAGACGGATCATCTATTGACAAACATTGCATTCTTTTAAACCCTGCCTTGAGAAGGAAATGTAATTGAAATAAAGTACTTACCCGACGCATGGATTTGTATAGTTATGTTCCGTTGCTCCGACTCTTTCATACCATTTGAGAACAACTACGAAGACAACAAATAGTTGTAAAAAAAACATGGAATGATTAATTAAGGCAAAAAGTATTACATTAAGGACTGCTCACCTTGTAAAAGAATCGACTCTTAGCCGCCAAAATGGGAGAACTGATATGTAAAGTTCTCACACGAAGGGGGTTTGAGGAGTCCATGTCCGTAAATGAACCGTCATTTTCAGACTCTTCATCATCGCCTATAAAATGCATCAAACTTGTCTAAAAAAGCCTAGAAAAATAACCAATGACCACATAGAATAAAAATTAAGAATGCAATTATCATCAACTAACATTTTTTCTTTCCAATTATGCATGCAGAGAATATACGTAGAAGACTGCGCAATATCAGAATCTAACCTCAGATACTCTGATAATCAGGATTTTATGGAAAAAGAAAAAATCACTAATGGCTGATATCCTTGAAATAGCAGGAAAAAACAGTCCATTATAGGGAAGTGAATAGGTACCAAAGAGATTTGTAGTCATCACTATGCCAGAAGGCGATTCTTCAAGCATTACTACAGCTTCTTCTTCCCGTTCGTCATCAGCAAGACCATCTTCCATTTCTAGAGCAGTACAATTTACTACCTGCTCATCACGTTGCACAACTACATCCGCATCTTACAAGTGAAAGAGATAAGCATAGGGAAGAAAATAAATAGGAAACATCAAGTAATTTGCAAAACTCCCAAATATACAACTAACAGAGAAAGTTTACAAGACGAAGCATATTTTGTTTTCAATAGGCCACAAACTTTTGAGAATGAATTTTTTCCATCAGCCACAAAATTAAGTCCACTGTGATTTCAAACAGCCAACAAACAATAGCAGCATCTAGAAACTATAGCATCTGCGACAAAACTTACTGACAGACACACTTTGTACTGGAAAAGGGACTGCAAGATCATAGTATATTAACAACAACAAAATCAATGCTCATCCATTCTAACCTTTATTTTAACAAAAAAGAAAATTCTAAATTGAAGAAGAAAATTGCAGTAGTTATATCAGTAAAGAAAATACAACCACATCCCACACAAGGGAAAAAGAGCCCTAAATCCATAAAATGTCTTTCGCCAGGGACAAATTTATGCACTAAAATTGGGGCACATGAACTCGGGGTCTCTCCATAAAATTAGGTATTGTCTCTATATTTTCAAAAATTGGTATAATATTATATGTGGGCAGGTGGCACCCATCCTACTAGAAGGTTAAATGATGCACTTGGTTGAATGTTGAGTTATTTACCTAGAGGACTAGGGATCAATTCTTCCTTTAAAACATATTTCCTTCTTTACTTGGTAGTGCACTCATGTTCTACAAATCCTAGATCCGCCTCTATCTTTCGCATAACAATTACTAGTATAATTCAACTCTAAAGTCTAAACTAGTCGAGTCTAGCTATTTGAATTATCTACATCGCTTCCACTCCATTTGGATTCGTAAACTATTTTTTCCATCCATTAACCAAAAAGGAATTCCCACATGAAAAAACCAACTTAATATGCATAAACCAGAAACCAAATGGAATAAAAGAAGTTAAACCCTATCTATTAGTGAAATAGGTGTTAAACCCTAACAAAGAAGTGAAAAACAATCCATTTTATTTCATTTAATAGTTCGGCCATGTGATGAGGAGAAGTGTGAGAGATTAGGTAGAAATGGATTTAGGAGAGGTAGAGATAGACCGAAGAAGTATTGGGGAGAGGTGATTAGACAAGACATGGTGCAATTGTGGCTTACAGAAGACATGACCTCAGATAGAGGGGTGTAAAGGACACGAATCATTTTAGAAGGTTAGTAGGTAGGAGTGCGTTCATGCTAGTAGGTAGGAGTGTATTGTCTTGGTGCTCTTACTAGTAGTCTTAGTGCTATGCTTGTAGTTTCTTGTTCTTCGATTTTGTTGATATTTGTTGTTTCGTATAGTTCGATTGTAGTACTGTTCTGCAACTGTTACTACCTATTGTCTCTTGTACTTCCATTACGTCTTTTTCTAGTCTACTGAAAACAACCTCTCTACCTCACCTCTCTAAGGTAGTAGTAAGGTCTACTTACACTCTACCCACCTTAGACCTCACGTACACTCTACCCACCT